GATAAACTCATCATATAAGCGTAAGCATGACTTAAAAAGTGCGTCATCGTTTGGGATTGTCTCTTTCTTTTGCTAGTCAGAGTGTCACTATCCTGATTAATGAATCAATCAGATGTCTATTTGAATCTGATGGTGCTCTAATTTTACTTGTAATGTCATTATGCTATAATGGTAAGAGAGACATAATTCAGTTAGGAGTTTAATCTGTGGGTAGCCCATGGATTAAAATGTCAGCATCCGATGTGATAGTGTTGTAATTAAATTTGGGAAAATGATTGGTATTTCTCTGTTGTTGATATATAACTCTCTCTCTCTCTCTCTCTCTCTCTCTCTCTCTCTCTCTCTCTCTCTCTCTCTCTCTCTTGTGTTCCTTTTTTATTTGTCTCGTCTCATGTTCAATGTATGGTGCCTTTGTTGCCAGATTGAAGGTACTTATAAGTTTGAAAATGCACGAGTCAAAACCATCCAGGAGTCCAATTTATAATTGAATTCATAGAGGGAATATGTATGTGTGTGTGTGTGTGTGTGTGGAGTAATAAGGAGTGAAGAAGTGTGGATGAAAGGTCCTCTGAGGAAGGGGAGCGAGAATGAAGAGTGTGTAGAAAATAAAAATTTGAAACTCAAACCTACTAAAAATGTTTTCAGGTTTTAGGTTTCATTTTGTGTACTTTGCCATGTACATTTGTTTCATGTTCTTCCCATCCTATTTTTTCTATTTTTTCCATATTCTTCCCATCATATTTTTTCTATTTTTTTGCTATCCCTATTTTTTCCTTTTATTTCCTTTATGTTCCTAACAACAAATAAAGTAAAAACTAAATGGTTATCAAACGAATCTTAATTGGTTTAAACCTTCTCGTAAAGGCTTAAGTCTATTTTTTCAGCTGGTAGGGCAAAGTGCCAAAAGTTGGGGTTCATGTGTGAGGAAGTTGACAAATTGCCTTGATTGTCCTTTACAAACTTAATCATGGGTGTTGATTTGATCAATGACCTAAGAAGTGGCTGATGTTAAGACACATTTCCATATATTTGATTATGTTGTGTAACAGCTTGGTTGTTGATGTTACAGAAAATTTTCATTCCAAAGCTTATCCTAAATAATTTGTACTACCAACCAAGTTGGACAAAATTTTAATATTTCCTTGGATTTGATTCCAAAATCATTACAGATGGATTAGAATAGCCATAAGAACTTGTAGTTACGTATTTCGTTTTTAAACAATGATATGTTTACACTAAGGCAATGAGAATAAATTGATATCGAAGTTATTATAAACAAGATTCAAACCTAACACCCTTCATTTACGGTTTTATTTATGTACTCAAGATCCTGTTTTTGAATCGCCTCTCTAGTTGTGTTGCTATCGACCCCCAACAAGGAGAATGTTAATAAAGTTTAAAACAAAAAACAAATAATGTAGAAGAAAGAAAAATGAGTAGCTGTGTGTGTTTTGTTTGGGAGTAAGAGAGCATTTGGTTCATTTGGGATGAGGCCAAAGCTAAGCCACTATCGACATTTGAGGCTCCAAAGAATTGCATGAAGGTGTGGGTGCTCTTTGGCTTTGAACAAAATGCACCTCCAACTCTAAAATGTTTTTCTCATGATTGGTGCATGCACTCTCAACGTTTGATATTATTGTACAATTTACTAATTAAGCTACCAAAATCAGCTGAATATCAGAGTATACAACGAGCAAACGAACTAATTGAATATCAAACTTTATTAAACGGAATTGTCAAGAAGGCTACATGAACCAAAGATGCTACATCTTGACTCACTTATCTCTCAAACTAAATTAAAAGCAATATGTATAGAGAACTAAACCTAAGAAACCCTAACTTAGATGGGCTAGGCCCAATTCCAAAACTAACAAGGAAAACTCAAATACTAAAATAAACATTTTCCAACACCCTTTGACAATACACGACATGAGTTTGCCAACAAACGATGTGGATGCAAGCTTGTTATGCTAATTTCCGATGCCAATTTCAATATGAAATTCCATCAGTGCAAGTGCAAGTTTCCACTGTCAGTGCCAGTGCAAGATTCCATGCCAATGCCAATGCAAGATTCCCTGCCAGTAACAGTGCAAGATTTCAATGTCAATGCCAGTGCAAGATTCCAATGCTAATGCAAGATTCCATCCAAACAGTCGAGCGATCATTGTAGGAGTCAATAACAAGCCAGAGACACAAGCCCAATAGCAACAATACATGGGCCACAAAACCTCAAAACAGCCATATTTTTTCCCTTCCTTTTTCCCTTTTTTTCTTCCTTTTTCCTTTTTTTTTCCCTTCTGTTCTAACATAAAACATATCTTTTCTATTTTCCTATTGTTTCCTTCTGTGCAAACCAACAACATCAACCTTTTTTTTTCGTGGGTGTAGGGTTGTGGAGACAGATCCAGATGCAGAAACGGCGCAGGTATGAGATTGCTTGGGATGTAGGTCAGACGCTGGAGGATGGGACAATAACGAACCACGAACAATGAATAACGACAATTTTTTTTCCAACTTCAACCAATTTATCTAAACTAGAATAATCAAACAGCGGAAGACGACAACAAATTGACACGGGACATGCAAGAGCATATTAAATCTCGAAGGATCAAACCTGCTCTGATACCAAGTTGAATATTAGAGTACATAACGAACAAACGAACTAACTGAATATAAAAAAAATTTTATTAAACAAAATTGTCAAGAAGGCTACATAAACCATAGATGCTACATCTTGACTCACTTATCTCTCAAACTAAATTACAAGCAATATTTATAGAGAACTAAACCTAAAAAACCCTAATTTGGATGGGCTAAGCCCAATTCCTAAACTAACAAGGAAAACTCAAATACTAAAATAAACATAAATACTAATATTTTCCAACAAAATCATAATCGTATCCATTCCATCCACTCTCAACGTTTACACTAATTCAAAATTAATAAGAAATTGGAGCATTTGCTTTTCAGAAGTTCAGTTTCTTGTTAATTTGGCTCACAAGTTTAGTTTCTGCGTAAACAAATGGTTATTGTTGCTGTACAGAAACGACACTCTAGAAATTAAAACAAAATCCTAATGGATGTTCTTACCATATACTAATTCAAATTTGACGCCGCATCAGGTCACAAATTTGATTTTGCTGCTTCGTAGGCTGGGGATGATGACGAGGTGCAAAATAAAATTTAAATTTGCGATATGATACAGCTTCAAATTTGAATAATTGAAGGACATGTCCAGAACACTAATGGTAAGAATATCCACTCAGGATCAAGTTAGACCGTGGAGAACAGCCAACTGAAGTACAACCATGGTGGTCCCTTTCTCCTTTTCCAAACTTATCTATGGGCAACCGGGTTTTTTGTTGTTTTCCCTCAAAACTTTCAACTTATTACAAGCCCATACTTTATAGCCTCTTCTTTGATTTACTACTCATTTTGTTTCTTCCTTCCCCAACTTTTACACTAATTTCCACTATGATATGTATTTTCTCGATTGCTAGTGGTTCTTAACATAGGATAGTATTTATTTGTTCATGACTCACTAGGTTTATTTGCATGCATGTTCAAGAACAGGGAAGTTTATATTAGGTCCTTCGATCCTGATCAGTTCTAACAGAAGAAAAAGCAGCCTTCCTTGGTCATACATGAACTGAATAAAAAAACGACCCAATATATATGTAGTAGCTACGTAGCACCTTAAAAAAAATGGAATAACTATGCTTAGTATATATGGGGTACCAATCCGAAGAACTTGATGCATTGTCGATATTTGTTAGATACATATTGTGTCTGCATTTGTTAATACTGACATACCTCCTTTGTTAGAGAATATGGGATCGGATAAGATTATATACTGTATTAAGACATTTTGAAGAAAAAAATGGATAAAAACTTCCATAATTTGTCTAAGTTTGTAGGGTACTACTATTCCTAATGACTAACCTTCAATTTGGAAAAAATAAGGAAATTGCCGTTTTTTTTTTCTTTTCAAAATGTCTTTAATATAGCGAATATCATCTTCAAGCAATTCCTCTATAACAAACGAGGCAACAATGTACTAATTATATTCTGTAGATTTGTACTCGATAGCACTATACAGTCTATACTAGCCAATCACTGTTTGTTGAAATGATGATTACAAGCTTACCAGCAGAATGCATACAAGTGGGCAGTAGCACCTGTTACGTTTCCAACAATCAAAAATCAAAAAATGCTGCACCGTCAAGATATGAAAAGGATGGTAAATGCAAGTTACGATGTATGTGTGTGTACTACTTGTTTATACTGAATTTTATGTAGAGTACAGATGAGATAGCGATCGAACTTTTACTCTCAACTCGTCTCCCTCAACTATATACGTATATCCAAAAGACCATAATAATAATGAAAAAAGATGCAGGACCACCACCTAATTTGTAAAAGTACTTTGCATTTCATTTCATGGTCGATCGATAGCCTTTTCACATAAGGCCCTGATTATTCCTTCGACTCGCGTGGTTCACTGCAGACCGTCCAATGCTCCTTCCCAAAGGAGAGCGTGTGGCTGATTGTTTCACTCACGTGCATGCAGTGCACACCAGTAGAGACTAGAGAGAGAGAGAGAGAGAGAGAGAGAGAGAGAGAGAGAGCGAGGGAGAGAGGGGAGGGGAGCTGTGTAGGTCCAGCAGTGTGCCTCACAAAGTTGATCTTGATATACCACCAGCAGAAACATGGAAGTTAATCACCCCCCATCTATCTTTAGGAAAAAAGGAGACCATGAAAGTCTCATTGCAGCTTAAGAAATTAAATGAACTAATCAGTGTGGGGAAAACAGGTAGGTAGGAAATCTTGTTTTAGCCTTTTAGGGTTTTATTTATTTATTTATTTATTTTTATAATGCATCGGTGTATAGAATGCATCGATATTTTCTTTTTGTTCAGATACATTGATGTTTGAACAGTTAGATTTTTACTGTCAAAATTTAGCCACGTAAATTCAGTCATTCAGTGCAAAGTTTTTTCTTGTTTTAACACCTCTCTTTCTAAATAGTAATCTCTCTCTCTCTCTCGCTCTCTTCCACTTGATCTGCAAGTGGCAAATAAATAAAGGCATGTGTGTTTGCTGCTTGCCCCAATTAAGGTTTTTCAACTGAAATCCATTGCATACCCTTTCTTGTCATGCTTTTCTTTCTCTTTCTGGGCATCTTCATTTAACGTCAGGTATCCTATAGCTTTCAATAAATTTGTATTTAATTTAACTATTTGAAATTAGACAATGCATCTCTCGAGATTTTCCTCTTCAACTGCTCCTCCAATTGTCTATGAAATTATGAATTGTATATATAATCCTGTTTAGATGTTATATATACAAAAAATAGGGTTAATTTTGTGTTTATTTTAATTCAAGTGGTATTTGATTTGTTTTCCGTGTTTCCAGGAATGGTAAGAAGAATGTGATGTCCCCTGGATCTGAGGCAGTTGGCTTTTAGAAGCTAAGAAGTAGGAGGAGAGATAAATAATAAAAGGAGTTTTACAGGAGAGATTTGATTTGATAATGCCAGTACCACTTGCCCCATATCCAACTCCTCCTCCAGCACCACCACCACCACCACCATACACATCACCACCTGCAAATGGTATCTAGCAAAATACTCACCATCTGTCAAATTTATTTCATTTATTTGGCTTAAAAAAATGTGAATTTTCTGTCTATTTTCCTGCTGAGAAAAATGATGGATCGGCTTAGAATTCTGGACATTGCACAAAATTGGTGTAACAAACCAAATGTCACACAATTTTGCTTTTGATTTTCCGTTTATTGGGTTAGGATTGTTGCTTATGTCGCTTGCGTTAAGCTTTCTTTGTTTTCAGTTCTCAGAGAAAATTTGTTTTTGAACAAATATTCGGCTAGGATTGTTGCTTAAGTCATATATTAGTAGTGAATTTTCGGGTCTGCACTGCATCAATACTTTACATGCTCATCAATTTACAACCGACCAATCCATGTCAATTAATGATTCAGTTATCTATGAAAACAAACTTTGTTGTTCTTCAGGTGCACAGAGCCAGCTTGTGTGCTCTGGATGCCGGAACCTTTTACTCTATCCTGTTGGAGCCACCTCTGTATGCTGTGCTGTTTGCAATGCCGTGACTGCTGTGCCGCCTCCTGGTATGTATTCATTTTCGTTCTTGAAATAAATTTGATGTAATTTCGACCGTAAATTTAGCAAAGCCTAAATGTAATAAAATTCATGTGTCACTCTGAGCAGGCACAGAAATGGCACAGCTAGTCTGCGGAGGATGCCACACCCTACTCATGTATATCCGTGGAGCAACGAGTGTTCAATGTTCTTGCTGTCACACGGTCAATCTAGCCTTGGAAGGTATAAATTGAATCACTGAGAGATGCAATGTTTTTTCTCTTAATCAGTCAAATGGACATAAGAATCAAATGTGCATTTGTGACAGCAAATCAGGTTGCACATGTGAATTGTGGGAACTGCAGGATGCTGTTAATGTATCAATATGGAGCAAGATCTGTCAAATGTGCGGTATGCAATTTTGTGACATCCGTTGGGGTGAGTACAACTAACGAGTTTCTGCTGTATATTGCGGTTTATAAATCCTTTCTAATGTATTCAAAATGGGGTCAAATTATAATTAAGAAAGTAAATTCAATGAAGAGTTAGGGTTAGGTCATCTTGTTGCTACCAAAAGTAAATTACTGAACATTTATAACTTCATAGATTATTCTGTAGTCTTTTGCATTTGCAGAAACTACTTACATTCCTTTTTAGATAACTAATGTGAGTTCATTCGCATCGTCAGGTCCCGGCGAACACCCCCGAACAGAAATTCAACAACTAAAAGTTATCATACACTACTATTGCAAGATGCTACGTACAACTTTGGGTTTGCATCTTAAATTACAAGAGTTTTCCTCCAATATTTCGTCTCTCTTAGTGAGAAGAGAAAACTTTCTTGCTCCTTCACATGTATAGAGTTACGTCTTTTTCCTTGCGTGAATAAGTAGTTATGTCAAGATTTGGATCTATGAGAAGTTTCTACAACAAGACTATGAAAATTTGAGTGCATTATTGAAAATCTTTGGATAAAGATATATATAAACTTTCTGCTTTTGAATTGTCAATTGTGAATTTTGTCATATATAATATGGAAAATATGATTGGTTAGCAGTCAATTAAGATGCATGCCCACCACATTCATCCAAAGAAAATTAAAATGGTGGACCACCAGGAGAAGATATTTCAGTAAATTAATTTGAGGTGAGGATTCATTAATTATTTAGGCATGTAATTTGGTGATATATATTGGTTATAATGTATGATTTTGACTCCAAGTTTCCAACAGTAACCTCTGAGATTTGTAGATTGAGAACATCTAGAAGGAATCTCTTAACACACGTATAATAGAAATTTACAGCTTAATTTTCATGTATTGCAAAATTTGGTATATAAGTACGTACAGTCCTTGTTTTCCAAAGAAACAAAAAAAATGACACAAAGAGATATCCTTCCTAGTAAAGGACTCTAATATTTACACAATATTTACATTCCTATTTCCCTAAAGATTACTCACGCCAATACTGCCCCTCAAGTTGGAGCATAGATGTCACACATGCCCAATTTGATAAGTGAGTCACCAAAAAACCTACTACACACGGCATGAGTGAGAATATCTGCAAGTTGCTCTTCCGAGTTCATGAACGGTATTGACACAATCTTCTTCTCAAGCTTTTCCTTAATGAAGTGTCGATCAACCTCCACATGCTTCGTTCTGTCATGTTGTACTGAATTCTCTTTGATCTCTCTTGCCGACTTATTGTTACAATACAAATTCATTGCCTCCTTCTGTTTGAAACCAAGACCCCAAAGCAACTTATGCAACCAAAGGACTTCACACACTTCATGTGCCATGCCTCTAAACTCAACCTCCGCAGAAGACCTAGACACCACCTTTTGTTTCTTACTTCTCCAAGTAACTAAATTTCGTCCAACGAACGTAAAGTATCCAGATGTAGAACGTCTATCAGTCACATCACCTGCCCAATCAGCATCAGTAAACCCCTCAATTCTTATATGAACGTGATTTTTTATACAAAATTCCCTTCCCTTGAGCAGATTTTAAATATGCTAAAATCCGCATAACCGTAGCCATATGATCCACACTTGGTGAGTGCATAAATTGACTCACCACACTCACTACATAAGCTATATCTGGACGAGTGTGAGCTAAATAAATTAATCTCCCTACCAATCTCTGATATCTGCCTTTATCCACTAGTTCCTGATCCGGATAAATTTCCAAGTGATGTTTCTCCACAATAGGAGTATCCACAGGTTTACACCCAAGCATACATGTTTCCTTTAACAAATCTAGAACATATTTTTGTTGAGACAAGAAAATACCTTTGGACGAACGAGCAACCTCGACTCCAAGAAAATATTTTAAATCACCCAAATTCTTCATCTCAAACTCGGTAGCAAGGTTTTTTTTCTAGTTTGACAATCTCATCTGAATCATCACCTGTTTTTATCATATCATCCACATAAATAATTAAGGCTATTACTTTACCACTTCTCCATTTCAAAAATAGCGTATGATCAGAATGACTTTGATAATACTCATTCTTTCTCATGGCCTGAGTGAACCTCCCAAACCATGCACGAGGTGACTGCTTAAGCCCATAAAGTGACTTTCACAATCAGCACACTCCAGTTTTCCCTCTAGCACCATATCCCGCAGGAAAATCCATATACACTTCCTCATCCAGATGTCCATTAAGAAAAAGAACTCGTACTGTTTCAATGGCCAATCCAAATTTGCAGCTAATGAGATAAGAACTCGTACCGTATTCATCTTAGCTATCGGATAAAAAGTTTCCTGATAATCAACACCATATGTTTGAGTATATCCTTTTGCTACCAATCTTGCTTTGTACATGTCTAGTGATCCATCAAACTTGTATTTAAATGTAAAAACCCATGGGCACCCAACTTTTTTTTTTCTTTGGTAGTTCCATTACTTCCCATGTATTATTTTTTTGTAGTGCCATCATCTCTTCTTCCATTGATTCAACCCATTTTTGATTCTTCAAAGCATCCTCCACTCGAGTTGGTAATTGAATTGACTGCACATTGTTCACCCAAGCTTGACATTCGGCTGAAAGATTTTTACATGACTCATAATTGGCTATTGGATACTTCACTTTTCATTCGGGAGAAAACATGTCAGGAGGTACACCATGATTTTATCTTGTGGCAACTTATATGTACTTATAACATCATTACTTACATGAGCATCAATCATACTTACCTTAGGGATATTTAGAGAAGACGTATTGGACAACGACACTATTGAGCTAGAGAGAGGGGGAAGCATGCTCGACAAGAGTCCCGGTAGTACTAGGCTCGGCATCAACCTGTTGTGGTGTTGTTTCTTCTTCGGCAGAAGCTAGCTAAACGCCAACACATTCTTCCTCGGCAAGGCCTTGCTGAAATTCTGCACTACTCTTGGCAGACGTCATCCGAAGACATTCAGCAATCTCGGTAGGAATGGACCGCGACATTGCTACACCAGTTTGCATGAGTTTGTCACGATTCACTCTCCCTGAAGCAATTATGATGTCTTCCTGTACATCCAACCGCCCAAAATCACCATCAAGATCACAAATACTAGCATTCTTCCCCTTGTGATCTGAAGGTAATGATACCGGAGTATAAAAATATTCTAATTCAGAAAAAATAACATCCATTGTCACATATATGTGTCAGGTTTCAGGGTGGTAGCATTTATAAGCTTTCTGTTAGGATGCAAACCCAACGAATACACACCAAAGAGCACAAGGATCTAGTTTACTACGCTGAATCTTGTGAATATGAACATAAGCAACACACCTAAACACCTGAGGAGTACGAGTATTGGTAGATACAACAAGAACATGTTTCGTCAATACTTGGAGTAGGGTATGGAATTCTACAACCCGAGATGGCATTCGATTAATTACATAAACTGCATATGTGATGGCTTCAGGCTAAAAACGCTTAGGTATGGACGCACCAATAACCAATGCACGAGCGTTTTCTAAAATATGACAATTCTTTCTTTCAGCAACCCCATTTTTGTTATGGGGTATGAGGACAAGTTGTTTCATAGAGAATTCTTTTATCACAGAGAAAGGAAGATAACTCAGAGTTAACATATTCACCTCCGTTATCAGAGTGGAGAACCTTAATAACGGAAGAATATTGTATATCAATCATCTGAGAGAAAGACCGAATAATCATACTAACATCACTTTTATTTTTCAACACATATATCCATGTCATACGAGTGCAATCATCCACAAACGTAACAAACAAATTAACCCCTGAAACGGTACTAATAGGCGAAGGCCCCCAGACATCTGAATGCACAAGATCAAACGGAAATAATCTTTTATTCTACCAGGAACGACATCATCCACATAATACAACCCCTCTCTCTTAGTAACACGCCCAATTATCTCCTTGGTTTGAATATCCAGAAGTAAAAAAAAATGGGTACGTAAGTACAACACAATCCAATTGCTCAGTAACTTGAGGGATAGATAATAAATGATGAGACAATGATGGAACAAGTAAGCAATGGTGAAGAGAGAGGGACGATGTGAGGTCCACAATGCCGGCCCCAATAACCCCTGCAGTGGTGCCATTCGTCGTTGTTACACATTTTCGATAAGTTGTTGTCATACATGTAGTGGTGAAGCTACAGAGGGAAAAGGAGTGGCATTCGCCCTTCCCCTGGCCAGAAATTAAGCTTAGAAGCAATGGTTCGCCCCTCTGGTCCCGTCGGAAGTTATGGATGCTCGGCCTGCTGTCTGGTTTTTGGGTTCCTATTTCCTGCAGCCATGGAAGAAAAAATCGATAATATCGGCGATATTTTGCCGATATTATCGGTTTTTTGCTTTACCGATATTTTAATAGGTATCCAAGGAATTTTCGTCAAAATATCGCGATATTATCGATAATATCGCGATATTTTAAATAATATCGCGATATTTTGGTTTCTCGACAGTCACAACCTCGCCGGAGAATCGGAATAACTCCGAGCAAGAACGAAACCTGCAACCAAACAGAACAAAATCATCACTATCTTTCAACAAAAATCACCACTTTATACCAAAATCAGTGACAAAATTACACTAATCCGAGAAGCAAGGGCTTGAATTCGAGCAAGATCTGGAAGAAAACAGTAGAAGCTGAGAAATCGAGTACCTTACCGGCAGTTACAGTGCTAAAGATCATCATCTTTGGAAGGCCGCGGATCGGATGGAGCTGAGAGATCAATGAGCAAGCATTTCACAGATCGTATTCGATCAGCGGCTGAAAGAGAGGAGAAAGAGAGAGAGAGCAGAGGGAGACGCGGACGAGGAGGATCGCGCCGATGGGGACGACGGAGGAGAGGTAGAGGTCGCGACCCGTGGGACATGGTGACGGGCTCGACGAGGAGGAAGGCGAGGGAGGAGCAGAGGGAGACGCGGACGAGGAGGATCGCGCCGATGGGGACGACGGAGGAGAGGTAGAGGTCGTGGGACATGGTGACGGGCTCGACGAGGAGGAAGGCCAGGGAGGAGCAGAGGGAGACGCAGTGGAGAGATGGATCGAGAGATGATGTCTCTGTGTGTGTGGGAGAACTGGAGAAGGGAGAAGGGAAGGGAGAAGACTCAGAAGAAGAGAGAAGAAAGGGAGAAGACTCAGAAGTTCAGAACTTGGAAGAGAGATAAGGAAGGATCGAGAGACTGAGCTCAGTCTCTGTGTGCGTGTGTGGTGTGGGGGGTCTCGAAGTGCGTGTGTGGTGGCGTTTCACTCACTCTCTGACTTGCTCTCTGTGTGTGTGGTGGCGTGTGAGATTAAATGCTATATTTGTGGACAACGATCAAATGCTAAAGATTAAACAAACATAATATGTTCTACTGCTTAGCAAAAAAAGCTACAAACCCTTTGCTTATCAACAAAAAAAGACAAGTCATTGCACTAGATATACTTTCAAATTACGTTGAGTAGCAACCTGATATATGTATTCGGACGAATTATAAAACAATTGACACACTCCTGGCTTCCAAAATTCAATTCTTTTACTTTATATAAA